AATGATGGCCAATAGTTGCCGATAATGATGGCTATTTCATAATTTGGATTATTATTTTAAATATTAAAAAAATGAATTTTCTTTTTATGGCTAATTTAATGCAAAGACTTATCCATAGAGCTAATATGATATTAATAATATCATCAATGTGGAAAATTTTACCATATTTATTTTTAAGAAATTTTCTTATAATCACGTAATGGTTATTAACTGAAATTAATTGACAAAAGTATTCAATATTCTAAATTAACCTTGAACTACTGTGATAATAGTAACCGGATTAAGTATTTAATCTATGTAACATTACAATAAAAACACTTGATTTTAAAGATAACAACCAATACAGTATAAATGTAACTTTCTAAATTTATTTTTATAATTAGTATATAAAGACAAATATTTTTCATTAATTTTTAATTTATTTATAATTAAACATAAATAATATTTAGAAATTTGAAGTTATATTCATTACATTTGTATGTTTTTGTGCCAAAAGTGTCACAAACGGCGACTTTTTAAAACTCGATGGCACCGATTGGTTGGCTATTATTAATAGCCTATTAACCAAAATAAATGTAACAAAACTTTTAATTTAATAATCATTAATAATAAAATCGTTAATTACTAAACTAATTCACTACTAGTAACCACGTGTTTACGGATAAACACATTAGAGATAATCTCGTCGTTACCGATGTTATTGTTTAACATTAATATAATTTAAATGCATGAATATTGAGATTTTGTAATATTATTTATTTTAATAATTATAATAATATATTTATTTATAAATTATTAATATTGTAATAAATGAATATTGTTAATTATTTTATAACTTTATTTTACGTGAATTATATACAAGTGATAATAATATAATTGTACAAAAAGTTTTATTTTCCCGATTATTTTCGGAACTAATTATTTAAATATGAAAACTTCATAAACAATAAAATCGGCCAAAGATTCGGATGAAAGCGAATCCATGGTTAGTGTTAGCTCTGGTTTGAGACAATACAAGACAAATATTTATTTTGAATACATTGAATTAATGGCACTTTAATTAACGTTTTATGTTAGTCATTATGAATACCTTTATGATTTTTTTTATTAAGAATTTGTATTGAAATAAATCCAATTTTGTAATAAAATTTTACCACAATTTTCTTCATTACATTTGAATTTACTTTCATTCAAATGAACACAACTTTTGTGAAGAAATTAATTGTTTTTGATGTAAAACATTTGTGGCATTCATTGAAATCACAAACAAATCAATTTAAGTAAATGTTATTTTTATTTTTGTAGTTTTACTGTAAGTGATGTTTTGCTGTAAATATAATTAGTAATAAATTTACAAATAAGTATTTAGAATATATTGAATTAATGGTGTTTTAATTGTTATCTCGTTTAAAAAAGAAGGTGTGTTAGTCATTTATGATTTTTTATATTCATATGGTAAATTAAATTTAATTTTAGATTATAACTTTTGTTACAATTATTGAAATAACAAACAAATGGTTTTTCTCCCGAATGAATGCTTTTGTGTCGAGTGAGACATTGTTTTGTTGTGTATTTTTTGCCACAATTTTCATCATTACATTTGAATTTCCTTTCATTCAAATGAACACAACTTTTGTGTTGAAATAAAAGGTATTTTGATGTAAAACTTTTTATTCAAAATACACTGAATTTTGTCGATTATTTCACACAAACTCTTCATTGCATTTAATTTACTCTTCATTTCAATCAATGAAACACTCATTACTTTTGAACACATTTTAAAAAATAATAGAAATAAAACTAAAATTTTAAAAGTTTTAAAACGACTTCAATACAGCATATATTTCACATGTTTTGTTGTTTTCTGTGTTAAGTGTTGTCAACGACTGAACGGGTATTGAATGCAAACGAATGGATAGAAAGGGATAAACATTCCTATCGTTTGATAAAAAACTAAATCCTATGAAAAGTATTGAACAAAACATTTGAAATCCAAATGCAATACAAATGTGAGGAAAGCTATGAAAATCCAAATTCCTATCTTTGACTAAAAGTCCAGAGAAACAAACGGTGGGATTGTTTCAGCTATTAATGTAAGAAACAAATTATAAAAATTTAATTACAATTCAAACGAATGATTACGGTTTGCAAACATACTCTATAATAAACATGATTTCAGATAAATAATAATTAAAACTAATATCTAATTAAAGTATATCATAAGTAAAACATAAGTTCACAATTACCATTGTTCATTATTTACAAATAAATTATACTCCTGTTTAATTTAGTAATTTTTGTAGATTTTTTTGTAATCCATGGATGTGCATATCATCAATGTGGAAAATTTTACCATATTTATTTTTAAGAATTTTTCTTATAATCACGTAATGGTTATTAACTAAAATTAATTGACAAAAGTATTCAAGATTCTATATTAACCTTGATCTACTGTGATTATAGTAACCGGATTAAGTATTTAATCAATGTACAATAAAAACACTTGACTTTAGAGATAACAACCAATACAGTATAAATGTACTTTTGTAGATTTATTTATTTAATTAGTATATAAAGCCAAATATTTTTCATGAATTTTTAATTTATTTATAATAAAAGATAAAATTAATTAGAAATGTTTAGCATATTTCAAGTTATATTCATTACTTTTGTATGTTTTTGTGCCAAAAGTGTCACAAACGGCGACTTTTTAAAACTCGATGGCACCGATTGGTTGGCTATTAACCAAAATAAATGTAAAAAACTTTGAATTTAATAATCATTAATAATAAAATCGTTAATTACTAAACTAATTCACTATTAATAACCACGTGTTTAAACAGCCATTCAGGTTAGAGCCCGAGTGCCGGGAAGTATATACTCAGACCTGAGACGTGAGGGCGTTCTTAAGGAGTCCCTACTGTCCGGCGATAATGATGTGAAGTATCGGTGGGTTTCGTACGACAACTGGACGTTTGAGCGCACATTCAATGGTAGTATACATCAAACTAAATCATTAATATAATTAAAAATCAATTAACTTTCATATTATAGTCGACGAGAAACTATTGAGCAAACAATACGTGTATTTGTTGGCCAACGGTATCGACACTGTCAGTGAAGTTACCGTAAATGACCGACTGATAGGCCGTACAGACAATCAGTTCGTACGGTATAAGTGGGACGTAAAACACGTGCTAAGAGTGGGTCAAAACACGGTTCGTGTGTCCATACAGTCGGCGCCGTTATATTCATTGCGAAAGTCCAAAGAATATGAAGAGAAATACAAGTATAAAGTTATTTGTAAGTAAATTATTATGTAATTTATCATCATATATTAATGTTTGTTTTTAGCATGCACAAAATCAGACAATACGGAGTGCTACGTGGATTTCATCCGAAAAATGGCGGCTTCTTATAGTTGGGATTGGGTTTGTATTGCAATCTCTCTCTCTCTCTCTCCCCTTCTCTCAGAATACAAACTGTAATGAAATAAATCAGTTGTTTTTATTGTGTAGAGATAGCTTATTAACATAAAACTTTTTGGGTAGGAATTTGATGGCAGTTTATTATACAGTTTTAATAAATTACTAAATTTAATTTTACAATTTGTAAATAATATAATTATTAATTATTATTTTGCCCAACCCTTAGGGCCCGGCGTTTCCCACACAAGGAATATGGAAATCATTGGGCGTCGAGTCGTACGACAGGGCAGTCATACGAGACGTTACGGTAGACACGAGACGCGACCCGAAAACACCCGATCGGTGGACACTCGCCGTCAGCGCACACATAGAGACCGCATCTAAGAAACAATTGGACGCTATTATAGACATAACACTCGACGACAAACCACTGGTGGCTAAACACAGCCAACGACTGACTGCCGACCCCTTGGGTGCAGTCAAAGCCGATTTCGTGATCACAATCCCGGAGGACATACCCATCATTGCGTGGTATCCCAACGGTGTGGCCGACAATACACAGCAGTTATACTCACTTCAAGTCCGGCTCTCATTCGCCGACAGTCAGGAAGTGTCGGCTCAGACCAAACGAATCGGTTTCCGGACTATACGTCTGGTGCAGAGCCCGACCCCCGGCGATGGCCTCACCTTTTACTTCGAGGTCAACGGACAGCCGGTGTTCGCCAAAGGGTCCAATTGGATACCGGCTAACGTACTGCAGGAGGACCTGACCGAGGCTTACGTCCGGGATTTGTTGGTCTCCGCGCGCTCGGCCAACATGAATGTGTTGCGTGTGTGGGGCGGAGGGGTGTATGAGTCGGACGTGTTTTACGATTTGGCCGATGAGTTGGGAATAATGATATGGCAGGACATGATGTATGCCTGCGCTCCCTATCCCGTGAACCCGGAGTTTCTGTTGTCGGTCGACGTGGAGATCAGTCAACAGATCCGTCGTTTACAACACCACCCGTCCATCGCTATCTGGGCCGGTATGTTATGCTCAAGGTTTTATCTAGTTTAATATTAACCTTGATACCTTTCGATATTTTACCTTTATGTCTGTAATTTTTACACCAATATTTATTTGACCAGTTTTATTTTTACTTAAATTAGCTATATTAGCTGCTGTACATGATGTTTACCATTTAAAAATTGTATTCTTATACACTGTACATTTAAGTGACTTTTCAACCATAAACATTTAATTTAAAAATATTGCACCTAGGTAACAACGAGATCGAGGCGGTCATTGCGGCGTTTGTTTCAGACGAGAGACATAAACAGGATTACAGGGAGTTGTTTGTAAAACACATGCAAACACTGGTGACCGACGGCGACACCAGTCGGCCATTCGTGACCTCCAGTCCATCAAATGGGTTGAAGGATAAGCTGGAGAACTATACGGCCAAAAATCCGGGTGATTTGCGGTACGGAGACGTCCACTCGTATAACTATATGTCCCCGCAGTGGGACTGGACTGTATACCCGAGGGGTAAGTTTATCTCAGAGTACGGCCAACTGTCCTACCCCTCACTGGACACCTGGTTGACAGCGTTGCCCGACGCAGACATGACATACCCGACCAGCGCCGGTGTCCGGCATAGGAATCGATTGGGCTTTTTTAATGGTACCCAAGTGATCGAGGGCCTTTCAGGTAATTATTTTATCATGATCATTTTTCGGTTACTTAACTAATTGTAATAAATTTTGTGTATTATAGGAAATTACTTCCAACTGCCGGCTCCGGGAGGTGTGGATCGGTTCGCGGACTTAATATATTTGTCGCAAATAACGCAAGCGATGGCTATTAAGACACAGACAGAGCTCTACCGACGCGATCGTGAGGTCGACCCTCAGACAGGCTTTGGTGGGACAATGGGTGCCCTGTATTGGCAACTGAACGACATATGGCCGGCGCCGACCTGGGCTTCCATAGAGTTCGGCGGCAAATGGAAAATATTGCACTCATTTGCCCGACATTTCTACCATAACCTATTGGTGTCACCATATTTGGATAATAATAGCATTAAGGTTAGTTGTTTTCAACATAATTACAATATATAACATGCAATTAATGTTCATAATTAAGAAATGTTTATTACTGTATAAATAAGTAAATATATAAAAAGTGGTTTAATTTAGTTTAATTATAAAATCAATTAAAAATGACATTTAATTATAGGTATCGTTAGTTCGCGACGACTATTACGGGAAACTGGACTTTGATTTGTCGGTCAAAGTATACGATTGGTCACAGAATCGGCCCATTTATGAGCACAAGTCTCGCCACTCGTCCGACAGTTTCTCCGCACAACTCGTGTATAACATAACTGTTCCCGAACTGTATAGAGTGGCCAAATGTCCCCAAACTGACTGTCACAGTGATTGGGTGTTGAATGTAGAGGTGACAAACACCGAGCGCAAATTACAGGTATAATACATAATTAAGTTTATGATAATAAAATATAGTTCACATGTCAATTAGTTAGAATGGGACAAATTAGCTAGGTTGACAATTAGTTAAAATTAATAATAACTTAAAACTAAACTAACTTTATTTATAGGCAAACAATTTCCTACTCTTATCGGAGCCCAAAAACTCGCACATAATTCAGCCTAATATCAAAGTGTTGGACGTGAAGGAGGTTAAGGGGGCCGAGGGTTCAGCCCCTGTGGGCCCGCATTATCTGTCAAACAGCCGTACGTTTAGTATAAGCCTATCGTCCGAAACGATCGCACCGTTTGTTTCGCTGGACTTTCGGCCGAAGACTGGAATTAGCGGTCATTTCATGGAAAACGGATTCTTTATATTTGACGGCAAAAAGTCTGTCATATTTTCCACGGAATCTAATGTTACGGATAAACACATTAGAGATAATCTCGTCATTAAATCCGTAACCGATGTTATTGTTTAACATTAATTTTATATAAATGAATAATTTGAAACAAATTATATTATAAATAAAATTTAAGTTACAATGTAATAATTAATTAGCGTAAATCGTTTTATTTAAATAATATGATTTACATATTTATCTTTATATAAATTTACATAAAAAATTTAAAGTATTAGAATATTACAATTTAAAAATCAAGTTTTAAACGTTGTACATGATAGTATATTATCTCTGTATTCTAAGATAATACATTTAATTAGATTTAGTTTGTAATTTATAATTAATTTTTACAATTTTCTGCAAATGAACACAACGTTTATGTCTAAATAAATGATGTTTTCGTGTAAAACTTTTGTGGCATTCATTGAAATCACAATTAAATCTCACGTTTAAATGAACACTATTTTTATGTTCAGTGAGATTTACTTTATAATTAAACTCTTTATTACAATTATTGAAATCACATTTAAATTGTTTTATTTCTAAATGAATTGATGATTGATGTGAAATTAATTTATGTTTATAGTTTGAATGATATTCACATTTAGGCCAAAAACATTTAAAAACTTTATTTTGATTTAAATGAACAGATTTTTTGTGAAATAGTAAATGTTGTTTTGTATTAAAACTTTTGTGGCATTCATTGAAATCACAAATAAATCTTACATTTAAATGAACACGGTTTTTGTGATCTAATAAATGTCCCCTTTGTTTATAACTTTTATTACAATTACTAAAATCACATTTAAATGCTTTAGTTTTTGAATGTTTTAATAAATGAGTTTTATAATTATGTTTACTAAACGTTTTGTATTGACATTTAGGCCAAAAACAATTTATTTCTTTTTCACGATTCAAATGAACACTATTTTTATGATCAATTAAAGAGCGTTCCTGTTTAAAATATTTATTACAATTATTAAAATCACATTTAAATTGTTTTATTTCTGAATGAATTAATTGATGTGTTTTTAAATGATGTCGATTTCGTGTTTTGTATTGACATTTAGGCCAAAAACAGTGCAAATAATCATCAGATTTAGTAATGATATGACAATTGTTTA